TCCCTCCCTCCCTTTCTCTCTCCTTCCCTCCCTCTCTCTATCTCCCTCCCTCCCTCCCTCCACCTATCCACCCATCCTGCATCCAACGATCATCGATCCACCATCCCTCCCAGTAACCATAATCTTAAACCTCCATTTATCCTCAATATAATAAAATAATCTTCATTATTTTATAATCATATTTCTCCCTTACCTAGCGCTGTGGTTTGTCTACTTGTGAGCACTCTTTGAACTGTAAAATACAATGAAAAGTACCTTAGTGAATAAAAGTTGAAATATCTTTAAAATATATAACTTATACTTAACCTTGCCAGCTGCCATAACAAAGCTCTAATATATTTATTTTATGTAAAATTTTAAGCATCGAGCCAAAAAATGATAAGCTTTGGRATGCTCCTTATTCGGTTAGTTTAGAGCATAATATTAGGGACCTTAAGCTGCAAGACGGCAACCACGACGACGACGGCAAGCATACAATAGCACTAATTGCGCTATTCAATAGATACTCGTTGAAATGTACGAAATACTGTGCTTCATTGCCGTCTTATGCTGAAAGTAAGACGTGAAATGTCCTATTTTTACGTACTAAAGAGAACGGCTACGCCATAAGGTTATTTTTGCTGATTTTCGTTATAAGTAAAGCACTCCCAAAAGACGTCGTTTCGTTCTAAAACGGTGATGCTTATTGAGTAAAATACTAGGTAAACACGAAATAATAATACAATAGAAGGTTGAAGCGCCTCAATTTCGCCGACGTTGTCGCCCACGTTGCCGTCCTACAGCTTAAGGTCCCTAATAAATATCTTGGAGCGAACGCGCAACCAAGATTTTCGCGCGCGGCCGTCGTATGAGTTTAAACTGATTTTACTGACATAGCAACTATTTTTGTCTTCATTTTTTCTCTTCTTCTTTGGCTCATTAATAGTTCTGGAAAAGGTAAACTGAAAGAAAAGTTATAGCTGTCCAAAAAAGAGCGCTTTTAAGAGAAAAGTTGTCAGCGTGAAGGGCGCAAAATGTGAACGGCAAGAAACGAATATCGTCGAACTTCGTACCTTGGTATCCTTGACCAACAAGACAAAGTATGACATGTTCCTTGTAATCAGGAACGAAGAATGATAGAAGTTTATGGACGGCGTATAGCAAAAGCGCTATTTGCCACATTTT